ATATTTTTCTGTCCTATTTTGATATGTGTTTGAGTTTTTAAAAAATATTTAATTTTTAGTTTTAGATGGACACAATGTCTTTATTTTACATTTATGTGGTGCTGAGGATCAAACCCAATGCCTCGTGCATGCTAGGTGAGCACTCTACCCCTGAGCCACAACCAACCCCTTGAAATTTTTTATGATAAAATTATTTAAAATTTTACTCTTAAGTCATTCATTAGGACAATGGTTATGTGACATCCATATGTTCTCATTCTCTTTCTCATTTTCCCCCCTCCTTAGGCTTCACTTCAACAAAGTTATTTCCTCTCTGTGAATTCTAAAGAGGTCTCTCTATTACTATTGAAATAACTACAAATGATAATAATTCTTGAGCACCTATCATAATTAGAATGTCATTATCCGTATCCTGGATACTGAATTTTGAGGGTCCCAAAGCAGCTCGTATCTTGCTATGTTTATATTTTACAAAAATGAGGTCAACAAGAACATGCTGTTCTGCATCTTTCTGTATTTTACTTAATAAGTTCCTATGACCTTTAAATTTAAATAAATCTTTTTATTTAAAAAAAGTTGAAATCTCTCATTATCCATGAATGGGTTATTAAGAAATAACAGTTTAGATTTCTGAAGAAATCTAGATTGCTTTCCAGAACAACAGTTAATTCTTCTAAACGGTAAGAGAGATGATAATGAGAAATAAAAGAATTATCACCCCACCATCAGACAGTCAACAATAGAATTCTTTCCCTTTGGTCCTTGTCTGTTTTGCTCTATTCTAAAAAATGGGGGTCTGGTCCATATGGCAATGGAATGTTGTTTTTGTTAATGGCAGGGTGAAGGGAAACAGCTGGAGTCACTTTGCCATTGGGTTGGCACAGTTCTGTGCATGAGGTTTGAGTCTGAAGAGGACAAAGCCTTGTCAAGAATCAGGGTGTCCTTGGGGTACCATGAGAAACTGATTTTGCTCAAGAATGTCGCTTTAGATTTTATATGAAGAGTTTCTACAGAAATAGATGACACAATTTGGGATCCAAGATGCCACTTTTAAGTAGGCTTACAACTCTTATCCTTTTGACTTTAAAAGAGAAAAAAACAAGAACACTCACAAAAACTGGTGCTGGAAATATACATGACTGTGAAAACAGGAGAGTACGACTTCCAAAAAGCAAACTTTACACATACAAACAAAGGTGTTAAAGGAAAAGGGTGAGGCTGTATTGTGCAAATATATGACATCAAAGTGGAGAAAGAAAGTGAAAAGTTGATAAATGAGTAAGTTAATCTGATTAAACTGTTTTCCTGTCTTAGAGGGAAAGTTCTAAGCATCAAAGTAGAAGATCCTGGGATGGACTGTGGGTCTGCAATTTGGAACTGTACAATTAGCAACGTGAATACTGAGATGGAGACAAGCAAATGTGGGTAGGTGAAAGGAAGAGGGAAGGACAAAACCTTCCGCAGAAGGTTCACATTATAGGAACTGCAGAGACCCAGGGTACATCTTGTAATGACCCTGTTTGAGAGCTGTGGAAATGACTGCCAACTGTTCCTGTCAGGTCTACTTGAGGCACCATGACCCAGAAAGTCCATATGGTACCAAAGTCTTAATTAGTAATATCACTTCTAAACGTACAAATCCATACTCCCAGAAGGAAGGAGATTAATTGTAATGCCTATGTGAGGAGGTGACTTTCAGACAACTCTGGACACAAAAATATGCTATGCTACTTTTTAACAGTGTTTGTGTCTGGGTACAGAATTTGAGGTGATGGTACTTTGTGTCTCTTTTCACAGTACATATAACTTCTATAATGAAAAATATTTTGAAAGTCTATACTGTCAGATGGAAGGAATAAAAGTAATCTGGTTCTTTCAAAAGGCTAAAGATCAGAACAGGGGATATTGCTCAATTGGTAGAGTGTTTGCCTCATATGCATAAGATCCTGGGCTCAATCCCCAGCAACCCCCTCCCCCCAAAAAAGCAGTTCATAGTGATCCTAAAATAGTCAAAAATTGCTTCAAATATTCAAAAAGTCATTGCCAAGGGTCAATGAAGAGATTTTTTAAAACTGCTTAATTATTTAAAACTGGAAACAGGTCTCAAAAAAATTATGCAATGCAAAAGTGTCATCTGATTATTAGCAAAGGACTTTTAAGATCTTACTCTGTTTAACAGCGATTGAGATGATAAAAAATGTATAKATGTTCTTATTATTATGAAAATTATTTAAATTTTTAATTTTGAGATAGGACCTCACTGAACTGCTTAGGGCCTCTTGCTAAATTGCTGAGGCTGGCTTTGAACTTATGATCCTCCTGTCCCAGCCTCATGAGCCACTGGGATTATAGGTGTGCACTACCATGTCCAGCTATTTTGAGGTTCTTTAATGATAGAAAATGTCTATCTTCACTGAAATGTGGCCTGAACGTCATCCAGGTGATTAGGGCTTCAAAATGCCAAGATTGGTGACAATAGGGCTGTGGACAAAAAGTGTGCTTCTTGGTCATTTTCTAGTTTAGGAAGTTCCCTGGGAAGATTAGGAATCCCCTACCGGTATATGTGTGTGTTACAAGATTCATTTGTCCCTTGTAATTTGCTTGAACAAAAAGTAAAATGCATTTCTATTCTCCAGGCATTTTTCATTCACTTCATAATGTTAAATTGAGGTATAGTTGTTCTTTAACTTTTATTCCGAAGTGCCTATCTTTTTTTATTATTATTTTTAAGCATTTAGAGCAGTAAGATTGGTATTAGCCTGGAAACCAAAGGAAGGAGGGAGGGAGGGACTTTACAGAATCATTTCTCCCACTGCACTCAAATAAGTGCAATTTGGTTTTCAGTTTTATGTTTAAGAAACCCAGAAGTGTGCATTTCTTCATAGTTGATCCTTAAAAATAAAAGTCCATTTGCACAAGCTACTCATAACCTTAACATCCTTCCTCTGAGCCCCAGTCACCTTATCCACAAGAAGAGTTTGGACTCCATTACTGTATTCTGTGAATCTTAACACAAGCTAATAAATCAACCTATCTTTGCAATTTCTTCATATATGTATTGTAACAATTCACAGTTATTTATTCTGGTGGCTTATTTCAAATGGCATTTGCTCCGTTGGAGAAGCAATTCAAAGTCATTCTGAGCTCAGTTAAACTCATTGCTGTATAGGGCTGTGATTAGTTCCATGTCCTAATTAAAGGGCCAAATCTCTGTCTTACATCTTATTTGAAAAGTCACAAGCAATAAAGAGCTGTATTATGAGTGATGAGCACTGTTTGATTTTTTGCCATCCAGTACTGTATATAATATTTATTATCTGTGAATTGCCTTTATGACATAGACATCCTTTCTGTAGCAGGTCATGGAGAGGGATTATTAAATAAAAAAGATTACATGCTTTGTCGTTGAGAGAAGGTTTCATCTGAAACAGAAACCTGACAAACATACCATGTGCCCGTTACTATAGAAGCAAAGAGACCTTTCCAGCTGTTTACACTTTGGATGTAAAATGGCAATTTAACATAGACTAACAGTGTGATGTGAGCATCTGCGTAAAAAGGCTACATATGGAGCATGCCCAGTGCGGGGAGTACGTCCTCCTCCCTCCCCCTCCCTCCCCTCCAGATCTCTAAAGATAAGGCTTGAACTTTGCACTTGCAAATGTCACTGCATACGTTTTTTGCACTAGGTGTTTTTTTTTTTTTTTTTAAAGGTCCTCTTACAACTAATTTCCTTTAACAATCCAAGAGCAGGGGAACAGGGGAGCAGGGAAGAGAATATTTAGGGTAATAAGATGCATTAAGTTTAGAACCGAGTTGATGATGCTGGGCTTTGCACTTGAAGGGTTTTTTATTTTTAAAAGACATAGAAAGAATTCGAGTATGTGCTGATACTCTTGGAAGGGGAAAATAAGAATCTCCTTGGATGGGAGTCTTCTGGGACAGGGAGTGAAAACCCTGGCAGGAGGGGACGGAGCAGAGGGGCTGCTTAGAGCATGGATAGGAAGGGAGCTGGGATTCTCCCGGGCTCAGCGTGCACTGAGAATCTGTGCCCCGGGCTGCAGCTGCGGACGTTAAAGGCGCTGTCTGGCTAATGAAGGCCACCTGGATCAGGCTTCTGAAAAGAGCCAAGGGAGGAAGGCTGAAGAATTCTGATATCTGTGTAAGCTCAAGGGCTTTGCTTTGGGGGAGACGTTGTTTTCTTGGCTTTTCTGTATTGCAGTGAGTGCAGGCAGAGAGGGTGGTTGGATTTAGTTAATATGCTCAAGACTGCAAGAGAGGGAGCTAGGGAGATTCCTATCATTTTTTTGAGCTCCTTTTCCTACGTTGTGATTTATTGCCAGAGGAGATATTCCAGGCAGGTGTTTTCTGTAGACAGTTCTTATTAAATATCTCTGTAAAGGTGTTTTAAAATGTGTTCCTGAAAGAGGGAAAGAAGCTAGCTGCTAGTGTCTTATTACAGTTTTGTCGGAGAAGGTAGCAGGTGTATTAAAAGGTAAAAAAATGATTCTTAAGATTATAATGGGAGTCACATCCTGGCAGTGACATTTGGTGGGGGGGGGGAGTTCAGATTGATAACTCATTAGACTTTTATTTATTTTAGTTTTTGGTTAGGCTTAATGTCTTTCTAGTTGTGCATACCTGCTTTAGCATGTAGATTGTTCTTGAAGCTATCCTTGAAACCCATGAGTGCCCTTCAGCTCTGCACTGCACCACCCAGCTGGTTTTATTATAAAGGACTTGTTTTGGTTTCCAGAATAGTTTCTGGAATATGAGGCTTGGGAAGGAATGGTAACTTGGTGGACACAACTACCCTAGTGAAGGGTCTGCCATGCAAAGTATGTTTTTTCCAGATTGGGTTGCTGCAAAAATGGATTATTTTTTCATCTTTTCAGGAATTTATAGCACAATCGAGGAAGCAAACCTCCACGTCAGTGAGACTTTCCCAATGCAAACATCATGCCTTGAATCTATTTTAATATATACATTTTCCTCTCCAGGGTTCGGCAGACTCCTACACCAGCCGTCCATCCGATTCAGATGTGTCTCTGGAGGAGGACCGGGAGGCAGTGCGCAGAGAAGCTGAACGACAGGCCCAGGCACAGTTGGAAAAAGCAAAGGTAAAACCATTTCTTCCTTGCCAAGGCCTTTCTTTGCAAGTTGGGCTGTGCCTGTGATGAACCACCTGTGGAAATTTCTCTTTAAAGAGTATTACATTGTCTGATTTTAAAAGGATAAAATTAATGGAGCGTTTTTTTTTCCCTTTAATAACAGGAAGTTTGATATGTAAGACTGGTCTTCACTTTTGTTCTATAATCTGAGCAACCTGTTTCTATCAGTGGGTGGTTTATTTACACACACACAAAAGGATCTCTAAATATACCAAGAGGGAAAATGGTATCTAACATCCAAATATTTTACTTCATTTTCCTAGCCATATCTGTGTTGGGGGGGGGACTTTCTTTAAGCTAATATTTATTTTCTTGGTCTTGAGCAATCTTTCCCCTAAATTTTATTCTGCATTTTATAATGACATATTTTTAAAAATGCATTATATTTTGCTTTTGAAAAATGAAGCAAAAGGTGTCATTGGTTAGAGAAGATTCTCCCCTTGGGGGATCCCACTTTCTTCCTCATTCCATTATACTACTCTATGCATATATATAGGAGGGAAACTGGAAATCAGATGAAATATAGAATTTATTCCAGTCTGAATTTTATTTCACTATGAAATTGTGATTTGGATTCTTTTTTCTCATGGAGTTGTTTGAACARTAGCTATTTCTAAAGCATAAGCTGTTGTCCACGTTTAAGGCATGTTTGTTTGATCCTTGGTACCTGAGTGAACGTATTGTAACACAGTTGGTTTCCTTTTGCAAAAAAATGACTGGTTTTGAAAAAGAGTAAGTATTGTGTTGATCATGCTGGAAAAATCCGGGTAGCATTACAGTACTTCTTCTCACCACTTCTTCTCTCAGATGAGTAGAACCAGTGTGTGTTGCTATGGGAATCGTGGCTTGGAGATTTGGTTTGAATGCATGGGCAGTCCTTATGTAATATTCATGACCTCTTGCTCAGCTGCCATAGTAGTATATTGAGGAGCYGCCAGGAGCCCTTGACTTCTTAAAAGCAGTGTTTCTGTATATCATGACATAGTTCTCACCTCAGCTGGCAGGGAATGTGAGACAGCTTATATGCATGAGGAGCCAGGAGGGCTTTGTGACCCTGGGAGCTGGTAGAGCAAGGAGTAGCTAGCCCAGTTGCCATCAAGAATCTGCTCTGCCAAAATCGGCCATTTGAAATGCTGTGCAGTTGAAATTAGATAATAGTTAAATGATGAATGTTTGGTAAAGTTAATCGCTGCAGGTTTGCTGGTAGTTTACTATGTCACGACTGAGAATTCATATTCGACATTCTATATTTGGCACCTGAGTGTCAGGAAAAGTCAAGAAAAAGAAATAACAGTTTGTATTCCAGAAATAAGATTGTTCTATTTGCAGCTAATTTATTCATGTAATTTTCACATACCGTTTTCTCAGATTTATATCATGTCATCATATATCCCAATGTAGTATGAAGTTGGTTTTCAAAATCTTGATCTGATTGGGGGACTTTTGTAGGTGGCTGTGTACTCTTAAGTCATGAATTAAGTGACACAGCTGCAGAGAACTTSTGAATCTTTCAACCTAATGTGCATCAAAATGTTGATCCTAAATCAAACCAGGTCCATATTGCTTCTCATACTGTCTAAAAAGTTTACAGTTACACATGATATAGAAAAAGAAAGAAAAAGAGAAACCAAGGACACAATAATTGAAGGACCATTTTTTATGTTGAATGAAAATAGTTTACTTACATTAGTTTTTCTTTAAAAAAAGCATCTTATACCTTTGTTGTATTCAAATGATTTATTCCAGGGAGAGCATTTAAATGTGTTCTGAAAGACTATAAAAGGACTAGGAAGTAAGTTTACAGTTTACGTGAAAATCATGGTTTTATAGGTCTGACTTCTTCTAATATCCTTGAGGAAAAAAAATGGAAATGAGAAACTATACATGTCAAATTCTTCTTTAGGTTATTTGTTTAAATCGGTATATCATCCTGACTTTGTGGGACCTTTTTTAATGTTTTAAAAAAAATATATGAATTCTTTCATTTTGGAAGAATCAGATGTTTTCTCCATTTATTATGTAACGATCCTCAGACAGAAAGACTTTATAAGTTGGTGTTCTCACTTGTCCTACAAATGACATGTAATAAGTGGATGCCAAGGAATCGACCTCAGCTATGCTTCCAGATCCTGGTCCTAATTAAAGATGAACTACATTCCCCATTAATTGCCTTAATAGTACTGTTCTGAGGTAAGGTAATTGGCAAGTAGAGACACTGCCTTTTGAAATTAAGTGACCTAAAAAAAGGTTACATAAGGAGGCACTCTTTGCTGCTAATAAAACCCAGTACTCCTCACTACGCTTTGTTATGGCTTCTCCTAAACTCTATGAGGAATAGATTTTATGTTTAATTTTGAGACAAGTAAATATCAACTGACTTGACTTTTTTTTTTAAGTTGGTATTTTCTGATCCCAAATATGGGTTTTGATCTTGTCCATGTTCGGTGTACTTTGCAAACCCTGCCTTGTTTAAGTTGATGTTCTTTGATACTGCTTTAAAGATGCGTTATAGATGAATTTATTTTCTCATTGAGCCTTTCTTTAAAAGCAATTTTGTTGAGCTGTAACTTCCTCAATTAAAGTATATATGAGTTAGTGTGGTTTCTAGAATATTCAGAGTTGAAATATTTGGGGGGGAGGACAATGAAAATTTTCTAAAATTGATATAGGCATTAATATAGAAATGCCCACTAGAAGTAACTAACTTCTCATCATTTCCAAATCCCCTTAGCCCTAGGAAACTACTATTCAACTTGGTCTCTTGATTTTCCTATTTTGAATATTGCATATCAAATGACTCATATTAGAGTGGTTGTGATGGGCTGCTTTCACTTACATACTGTTTTAATGTTCATACTACAGCATGTATTGCCCTTCATTATTTTTATTGGCAAGTTATACTCTTATTGAGAATATATTCCAAATTTTACTTAAACATTTATCAATTGGAAGACACTCGGGCTTTTCTACTTTCTAGGTTCTATGAGTAATGCAGTTATGAACATTTGTTTTCAAGTTTTTCATGGGCATATGTTTTCATTTTGCATATGTATACACCTAAGAGCAAAATTGCTGGATCATATGATTTTCTTTTTTTTTAATTTAAAGAACAATGTTTTCCTTCATTCCTTTCTCAAAAATCATCCTTTCTCCCCTATCTGCAGAGACTTGAGTTGGCAAATATGGATGTGGTAAGGACTGGAGAAGAAATATAATAGGTTCAATGTGATATTTTATAGGAGAATCGATCAACAATAAATTTTGAGTCACTGTTATTGTCATTGAATGTCCACTACAGTAATCCATGGTGTCTGTCATCCTATATACGGGACTCCTATAAAAACTTAGAAAGTTTTATAGAACACCTATAAAATATTTTTATAGGTGTTTCATACATAGAGGGTGATAGGACATAATGGATCTCATAGACATTGTTGGCACAGTTGGTGTGTAAGAGGGACCGTCAGACCAGAGCCACAGAGGAGAAATGGACAGGTCTTTTGCCGACAGGAAGCTTCTGTTATTTAGGGAGAAAAGTCATGGTTCATAAAAAGCAAAGTCAAAGTTCTTTGTGGGGTTGGAGAGGTCTGTGAGCATCCAGAAGAAAAGACTATACCTTCCTGACCGGAACAGGACATCCTTGCTGGAGGAGGTCATGGCTTAAAATTCAACCTTACAGGATGGATATGTGAAGGTCAGCTCCTGAAGTACAAAGCAGGGGGTGTGGAGTAGAGCTAGGCCATCAGGATGGAACGCACAGAGAGAACAGTAAAAGCTTGGCAGCTTTTTTTTTTTTTTTTTTTTTATTTCTGGAACCTTCCAGAAAAAAAAAAAAAGTTAACTTTTTGGAGATCCTACCACATCTAGAAATATCTTTATTCCCTCCTCAATTAATAGTTTGGGTATATTATTCAGGGGGGAAAAAAAAGTGTTTCCTATCAGTTTGGTTAAGATGTCTCTTTGTGGTCTTCTGCCTTCCAGCTCTGGTGTTACCATTGCTGGTGACATTCTGACTGAGACCATTTTGGTTTTTTGTAATTCTAATATTTCGAGAACTGTTCTTTCTTTTCATAGAATGTGTCTCCGTGTGGCTCTTTGCTTCTCACACTTGTGTCTCTTGCCTTCATTGTGAAGGGCCAGTCACTTTGGTTCTAGAAATCCATTTTTCTTTGATGATCTATTCCCCTGTATTTTCCTCTTTTTCTGGTTCTCTGGTGGGTCCCATGTTTGGTGAGAGTGTTCTTTGTAATCTTCTTTCTCCCTTTTTGTTCTGAGTTTTTTGCCAACCGATCTTCTCGCCCATCTACTGAATTTAAATTTTTATCAAAATGTCTAATTTCTAAGGGCGAAATATGTCACAAAAAATACTTGCTGATTTTCAGCAGCGTGCATCTGTTTAGTGCTCAAATATACATTAGCTTAGATTGAACTTTCTTACAGGAAATTAGAAATGTAGGGAAGCCCTCAGGCCCTGAGTAGGCTTCTGGGTTCATTCATGCTTATGGCTGGGTAGGTACAGTCCAGTTCCAAAGGCTACCTTTGTTCAACTCCCCTCTAGTGTTAGTTGATAATAATAGACAACAATAACACTCAATGCCCAATTTCTGCTCATGGTAAAATATTTGAAGGAAATTTTTTTTAAAGCAAAGCTCTGTTTTTGTGGCATTTTGAAATACTGTTGGGCAGTCTGACTATTGATCTTTTTACTATCAGCACCATTCTCACTCATTTTCTTTGGAAAATGAGAGAAAAATTCTCTCATGTTTACTGCAGAACAAACCAATATTCACTTAGTGGCTGAAAGCTGACTATAGTTCCTTCCTGGGCAACGTTAGCTAGCTGATAGGTGAGCTATGACTAGGTGACCTGAGATGGCGTATCACATGTGTCTGAGGGTTGGTGGCTGTCATCTTCAGGGATTTTTGGCTCTCCTCTTTGAGGTCTTTTAT